TGAAAAAATAATTCTAATGACAATGATCCATCCAAAAATCTAGAAAAATTTAAAATAGATATAACAAATATTTTATTTAGTCTAAATGTTTTAACGAGTAAACATGAAATTTTAATATATACTAAAGTATATATAATATATTATATTATATTATATTATATTATAATATTTATTATTATATTATATTATATTATAATATAATATTATATTATATTATAATATATTATATTATATTATAATATATTATATTATATTATAATATATTATAATATATAATATTATATTATATTATAATATATTATATTATAATATATAATATTATATTATATTATAATATATTAATTATAATAATTATATTATATTATAATATATTATATATAATATTATATTATATTATAATATATTATACTATAATATATTATATTATATTATATTATAATATATTATATTATAATATATAATATTATATTATAATATATTATATTATAATATATTATAATATATAATATTATATTATATTATAATATATTATATTATAATATATAATATTATATTATAATATATTATATTATATTATAATATATTATAATATATACTATTATATTATAATATATTATATTATAATATATAATATTATATTATATTATATATATTATATATTATATTATATATTATAAAGTATATATATACTATATATTATTACATAAATTACTATATATTACTACATAAAATATATTATAGAACAGGTATATTGACCTTGACTTGTATAAAAATAAGTATTCTGAATAATTTTAAAACCCTAAGTCGGCAAATACTAAACGGTCGCTGACCCCTAATTTAGAGGACCTAGGTAGGGTCGAATCTTTAGTACTTTCACATATAACTAACTGAAATGTATATATAAGTCGATGAGTAAGCAAGCTAAGCCTCGAATAGAGGATTAATTAAGAATTTTGTATAAATAACTCCATTGCAGTCATTTATGTAGAGATGTACAGCAGTAGATGTTACTCTTAAATTCCTTATTGCTAGGGTGGAAAACCTATCTGGTGAGAGATAAACGTTTCCGAATTCCTACAACGCCTGCGACAAACGAATTCACATAATGCATATTTATTCAATACACGAACGTTTGCAAAATACAGTTCATTTATTTTTTTATGTGTATAGTTTCCAAAAAGTACTAAATCATTATTCTATTCATCTTATTGTCATGCAGAAAAGGGATAAGTAACCTATAGTAAGAATGCCATGTTATTTATTGAACGTTCTTGGAATAAATGTTAAAAAAAAAAAACAATAATAAAAAATAAAAAACAATTTCTATTAAATGCAAATAAAAAAAACAGAAAAAAAACCATTGAAAAAATAATTCTAATGATCCATCCAAAAATCTAGAAAAATTTAAAATAGATATAACAAATATTTATTTAGTCTAAATGTGTTTAAGGAGTAAACATGAAAATATTTGGTTGTTTGAAAAGAAAAAATTTCCAATGGCACGCAGCCGCAAATGACATCACGAAGTCCGAATCAATAACTACTTCAACGCAAAGAAGATATTTATCTGTTTCAATTTTAATATATACTAAAGTATATATTAAGATAATACTATATATTACTATATAAAATATATTATAGAACAGGTATATTGACCTTGACTTGTATAAAAATACGTATGCTATTGGCACAATGAATGATTTTAAAACCCTAAGTCGGCACATAGCAAAAGGTTGCCGACCCCTGATCTAGGCTTTTTTTTTAACACGAAATTTGTTGACATCTAAAGAATGCTGGATGACAAAATGGCCGAAACTTTGTGATAGTAACAACAAAGATGAAGATGAAGATATAGAAATCAATAGAATGTAGCATCAATTGCAGGCCCAATAACAATAAACGGTGATTATGTCTAGAGCAGGAGCCGGCAATCTACGGCACGCGTGTCACACGTGGCACGCTAAGCAATTTCCAGTGGCACACAATCGCAAATGACATCACGAAGTCCGGACAAACAACGCAAAGAAGATATTTAGCTTTTTCAATTTTAATATATACTAAAGTATATATACTATATATTGCTATATAAAATATATTATAGGACAGGTATATTGACCTTGACTTGTATAAAAATGCGTATGTTATTGGCACAATGAATGATTTTAAAACCTTAAGTCGGCACATAGTTAGCAAAAGGTAACCGACAACTGGTTTAGGCGGTGCTATTACGTTTTAAAAACAAAAACTGTTACAGATTTACAAGAAGAATCAAATGTAAAGAATTATTGCAATGAGAGGACAACGTTACGTTTGGCCTAAAGGTCTCGAGTAGGACAAATAATGGAACACGCGAATCGATTTTAAAAATTACCAAGAAGAATGCTAGAGATTTTCACGTAATCATTTCGCCACAAGTAAGGAGATAAATACACCAAGAAGTTACTGGATGTGTAAAAGTCTGAGATAAAAAAAATAAATAAATAAATAGACATTATTAAGGAGAGGGATGAATAAAATAAGCGGAATTTTAAAAAAAAATACAGATGATGACGATTGATATTGCATTTAAATTTTAGAAGATCAAAATTGATTGGAAAGCAAGAAAATGGAAGATTTAAGGAAACTTGCCGCCATCACCGAGAGCAAGCAAATACGGAATCTCCTGATTTGGCATATTAATGTTTCTATTTTAGCGTTCCATAGAATCATAAAACATTAATTGTGTTCATTTGAGTTCGAATTGGATGCGTTTTCCAGAAACATAACCGTAAAATGAACAAAAACAAAATAGACCGGCTTTTGAACTCGGCACGGCGACTCCACTTTCCGCGACGCTACCCGCACACCTAAACAAACCTCTATGGCTCAATAGAAGAACAGACTGCTCTCTTACCTTGAATGGAAGCCAGTATAGGAGAAGGAGAATTTTCAGTGCAAGCCCAAGGAACAACTTTTGGAAACTTCGTGCCCACTAACCCCTTTCTCTGTGAAGAATTCATAGAAAACATTTGAAGACTTCTACAAAAGTCTTCACAACGATAACCAAATGCGTGAAGAATCTTACGGTTCTCTTCTAAGGTGAACTGTTGTAATCGATAGGATAGTTCTTTATGTATTATGTTCAATCACTCAGTATTCTCACCAGGAGTAACAGGTCTTTCGCACAGAATATTAAGTGATAGAATGCCTGTTTCGTCCAGCAATGCACTTTATATTTGAGCGGTCTTTGGGATTTTCCCAAAACTTGACCAGACTTCCAGTTCCACTAGTCATAGCTTCTACCGGACTGTTTCTTGTGATCCAATGGCAACAAGAAATTTCATGTCCAACAATGTGCTCAGTTTCGTGTCAGTACCGGGATGCTTATTGATTTTTGTCTTTGTCGGTTATCTACGGGAACAGCTACTACTACTACTACTACTACTACTACTACTACAACTACTACTACTAGTAGTAGTAGTAGTAGTATTTCATTTCCTTTGATTTCTGCTGTCTACTCACTTTTTTGCGAGTACCACCGAGAGACCTACGGTTAGAAACGGCATCATGTCATTTTCCACTAAGCAATAAAAAAAGAGGACACATGACACAGTAGATAAAGGCGTTAGTTAGATCCGGTGACATGACACAAAGAGTGTGAGTTCAATTCCTAGTTAAGGCGGTGGAGGACTTGAAAAGGGGAATTAACAGGAGATAACTGACATCCATTAGACATGGTACGTGGGACCAGAACAGTCTACCCTAGTGAGCGAAATAAAGGGTTCAGTTCGACATTCCAATCATCTGAAGAAGGCCGGAGCGTACAACGTCCAAAACGTTGTGATGACAGATATGGCAACAAAGATGAGGATGATAGTCCGAGCAATGAAAATAGTGAAAAAAAAAACAAACACTTATTTTACATACACAAAGCCCTTCGCAAGGTGTTGGCTGTACTCGTGAGAACATTTTTTTTTTATTTTTTTAAAATTACCAGGTATAAATCTATTGGAATCTTTTCCAATCAATCCGAGGGCTCCAACTACAACAGGTACTGTTGATGTTCTCATGTACCACATTTTTGAGATTTCGATTTCAAGGTCCTTGTATTTTGATAGCTTTTTGAAGATCTTCAAAAATACATTGCATTTTGCAGGGACTGCCATATCAATAGAAAGGTAATTTGTTTCGTTTGCAGTCAATAATAACGATGTCTACACGATTAGCTTTAATTGTTCTGTCTGTGTGTATTGTGTAGTCTCATAAAATTGTTACAGGTCCTATGTCCGTAATCGGAAATGTAACATTATTATTATTATTATTATTATTATTATTATTATTATTATTATTATTATTATTATTATTCCCCCTGATTTCTGTTGTTTACACATTTCCTTCCGGATCCCAACTCGAGACCTAAGTTCAGAAATTGCATAGAACATTTTCCATCGGGCATTTTTTGTAAAAAAAAAACAACCACCTAAAATGAGGCATATTTTACATAGATAAAGCACTTCGTAAGGTGGGATTTGTACTTGTGGGAAGAATTTTTGGTATTTCTCTAGGTCATGGGCTATCATGAATCCCTTCACTGAGTTTATCGGGCCATTTTTCCAATCAGTCCAATGGCTCCAAAAACAACTGGAATTCTTGATGTTTTCATGTGCCAAATTTAGATTACATTGGCTGAGTACGTCTCTTTAGATCCAGCGTAGAACTCATTTCACACAGAAGGAAATGTCGATAAGCACCCCAGTACTCGGCAATGACTTCCACCAATGACGAATGGTAGAAGTATTACGAATATTATTATTATTATTAGTAGTAGTAGTAGTAGTAGTAGAGGTATTAGTAGTAGCAGCAGCAGTAATTCATGTTGTTAATAAGAAGAAACAAAGACAGGTAAGAGATGCTTCTTTCAAAAAGTGATATATTCCTGAACAACAGAAACACACACGCACCCACGCGCGCGCACGCGTACACACACACACACACACACACACACACACACACACACACACATATATATATATATATATATATATAGAGAGAGAGAGAGAGAGATAGATAGATAGATAGATAGATAGATAGATAGATAGATACATCTGTGATAGTAATAGGCTTACTGATAGATAAACAGCAAACAGAAAAGAAGATGAAAGCAGTATAGATAAAATGTCACATTCGAAGTGAAGATTTTAAAAGTTATTGTGAGCAAACCGCTGCGAAACGAGTAGGTAAGTTTGTCACTATCTCTACTACTGTGTCAGGGTGTAATACTTTAGCGTTGTAGATGGTGATAAAAAGACGAACATAGATAGATAGATAGATAGATAGATAGATAGATAGATAGATATGAATAGAGTAATGCAAATAGACAGATAGATAAAGAGATATGAATAGAATAAGATAGGTAATATAAAGATATGAATATAATCAAATAAATATATATGAATAGAATATGAAAGATATGAATAGAGCAATGAAAACAGATAGATAGATAGATAGATAGATAGATAGATAGATAGATAGATATAAATAGAATAAAGCATATAGATATATATAGATACGAATAGAATAAAGCCGATAGAGAGATGTGAATAGAATAAAGCAGATAGATATAGATAGATAGAAACGAATAGAAGAAAATAAGGCAGAGAGATAGATAGATAGACAGATAATGAATAGAATACGATATACTGAAAGATATATGAATAGAATAAGGCAATACATACATACATACATACATACATACATACATACATACAAATAGATAGATAGATAGATAGATAGATAGATAGATAGATAGATAGATAGATAGATAGATAGATAAAGAGATATGAATAGAATAAGATAGGTAATATAAAGATATGATTATAATAAAATAAATATATATGAATAGAATATGATAGATATGAATAGAGCAATGAAAACAGATAGATAGATATGAATAGAATAAAGCATATAGATATAGATAGATATGAATAGAATAAAGCCGATAGAGAGATAGGAATAGAATAAAGCAGATAGATATAGATAGATAGAAACGAATAGAAGAAAATAAGGCAGATAGATAGATAGATAGATAGATAGATAGATAGATAGATAGATAGATGAATAAGATCTTAATCCACCAGTCGATAACCAAAAGACGACTTTAGATTCAAAAGCATCTACTGGATGGATTGTTTCGTGTGTCTATGACCCGAAAATAAGGTGTCAATAACTGATCACTTACAGTTTCGTTGGCGAAAGCCAATGCCACCAGGCAGATTGCGATGAAGACCTTCATGGTGGGTCGGTGTCCTCTGCTATTGTTTTTCCCTTTTGTTTATATGAAGACCGCATCAACCTTATAAATGCCGTCTACCGTCTGCCCTGAACCTTCCCTGCACACACAAAAAAGATTAGATACCAAATGCAGGCCTGAGAAGGAAGCATATGCCATCTTATCTTTCTCTGTTACGATTTCGCGTAAAAGTTTGAGTATCTGCACGAACCGAGATAAATGATTAGGATAACGCACCCCTCATCGATTGCCATTTTCAAGTTTTTCATTCATGTCACTGCAGTCATGAGTTCAGGGAACCAATCAAAATACATTTCGATCGCTTCATTCTAAAATATTTATCCGGAAGCTTTTCCATAGCTGGTCCTCTCTCGTATCTCAAATCATCTAAACTTGCAGATAAGTCGCAAAGAAAGCTTCCTCCCCTCGTTTCTCTTCCCATTTGAACGGAAGTTAAAGTCAAAAGTTCAAATTCTGATTTTCAAGGCAGATTCATTATTTATGGGATTATACGCAGTCATCCATTATGCAATCCCCATTTGTGTTAAACTTCGTAAATAGCACGATATAAAATAAGGCGCCAGAAACAGTACAGACAATTATAACGTGTATCTCTCTTTGCTTCGACTGAACGTGACAATGTGTTTGAATCGTCACCTGGAAATATCAGTACAGACACATTCCAAGGCTCTCGATAAAAGAGCTGTCTTTGTTTAAGTGCAGGATATTTGCTTAATGTCGTTTAAACCTGGGCATCGCTCGAACCAGTGGAATACATAGAAGTTATTTGATAGTTCTTGAACTTGTTTCACGTCATCCGCGCTCAATAAGAAGTTACGTTATCTTGCTGGAAGGATATCTACCTCCAGGAAAAGGCAAGCTGAAACGTTTGTAATTAGATATCCCCATAACAAACCTGTCACGATAGAATTCAGTTATATTATTAATTATTGCGGACTTCATGAGAACAGAACCGACACCATTAGAAAGACAACACAAACTAACACAGCATATTACTAAATGGCTTGCTCTATGGTCTCTATTGGTTTATTCTACATACAAACTCAACCGTACACGGAAAATAGCTGAAGACCTGTTTTGTATGACCAGGTGACGCGGGGTCAATTCACCACGGTCTAAAGTCGTCATATTTTCACACTGTTGTTGGTGGACGAATAAGAAACGCCGTTTAATAAAGTGTCCGCTGCCCAATAGACTGATCGATGGGTTTATTGACACCAGCCCTGAATTAGGATGAGATTGAATGAAAAGATCCGTTACGTTTCTATCACCAACAATTTTTAAAATGACATTATCGTTTTGAAATGGCGTTTTTCTCCAATATTCACTTTTTTCACATGGTACAGTACTATTAGCCTCGTTTTGAATTGTTAAGTTTCTAAAAATGTAGGCATTTTTAACACTGATATATTATTACTCTATTCGATTTGAACTTTCTCGTCTGACGAGTACCGTTTGACATTGTAAATTATTATTAGGCTCGAATATTGAATTATGTTTCGAAAATGTAGACTTTTTAGGGTGATAGAACTAATTTCAACTCGGAACGTCAAAACAGTAATTTGCAGTTCAAGCCCTGCGATCAGTTTCTAATTACCCAAATAGTTCCATTTAGGTTTAAATCTACATGCTTAATTCGAAAATAACAAAAGAAATTTTGATAAAATCTACAGTTTTGAAGTTATCGCCAATAAAAATTCGGACTCATTCGCGTCGCGGTGGGTGAAATTGAAATTCATTCTGCATTCCCCTTTTTACGCTAATATATTATTACTCTCCTCGGTTTGAACGCTTGCTTGTTTAATCTATACTGTTTGAAATGTTAAATTATTATTAGACACATTTAGAATTTTCACGTTTCTAAAACTTAGAAGTTATTACACTGATGTATTATTACTCTCCTCAAATTGAATTCTTACTCGTCTGATGTCTACCATTTGAAGTTGTAAATTATTACTTTTTTTTTTCAATCGATACCACCCCAAGCAAGTCAGTAACGCCACTAGCACCCAAGGAGTTACAGGGTGTGGAGAAATTAGAAACTGAAACATGACTAATGAGGAGAAAGAGAAAATAGTAAATAGTAGATAGCCATTGAAATTGCATTTAAATTTTCTCAGGTGGTTGGAAATCATGGAGCCGTGAGGGAGTTTCATAAGCAAGAAGTGCGAGAAAAGAAACTATGAGCATAGAAGTTACGGCTACATCTAGCTAGTTCAACTGTAAATTGATAAGGTCACGCCGCCAGTCTAGTAATGCCCAAGACTTTTGAGATGTCCAATGCTACAACCCGAACTTCACCGTTTTTTATCTAGAGCATGATAAACTCTTTTCGCGATTAGTATATCAGCAGTTGATCTGGAGAAACGAAAGCCGTATTGCTCCTCTTAGAAAAGGCCCTGTGATGAAAGATGATGAAACAATTCAGCATTGATTAGTACCTCTAGGAATTTCCCCAAAAGAGGCAGAAGACTAATAGGTCGATAGTTAGATGGGTCAGATGGGTCACCAGAGTTCTTAAAAAACTGGAAGAACAGACAATAACTTCCAGCAAGCAGGAAAGCAAGAGTCTGCGAGGCATTTTATTATACCATCTAAAGAGAACAGGAGCTACTTCAGGAGTACACTTCTTGATGACTTTAACAGGGATGCCATCAGGTCCACATGCTTTGTAGGGATCAAGGTTAGAAATGAATGCAGAAACCATGGAAATGTTTATATGCACATAACTCAACAGATGATCAGTTCTAAGTGAGAAGTTAGGCAGGGGTACTCCAGATGAGTCAAGAGTAGAGTTTGAGGAGAATTTAGGGGCAAAGCATTCAGCTTTATCAACGAGGATGATAACACCTCAAATCTATTGAAAAGAGGTAAGAGACCTTGCACTTATTTAGTACCCTATTACAGAGACGCCAGTTGTCACAAGAGCCAAAGTTGTTAGAGGTTATGCGGTACCTCATTCTCTCATCAAACATGGATTAGCTTTTTCAAAGAGTCGCTTACATCTGTTACAGCAAATAGGCACCTGTTAGGATAAGAGCTGTCACACTGGTATAACCGGAAATAGTGGTTCCTATGTGCTATGGCGGCCGAGCATGCTGGTGTGAACCATGTAGAAGATTGCGGTTTTCCCTGGCATTTCCGAGAAGTGATGAAAGTGTCCTTGCCTGCTTTGACCCAGGAAGAAACCTCAGTGGTGCAATTTTTAATTGGGAAGTTTTAAGATGTCAGTTCAAGGGGTGTCACGAAGAAAATCCCGGAATGACCCCAATCAGTATGCTGGTACCGGAAAGATGTCTTATGGATAGGGTGTCCTGTAGTTGTATAGAAAAGAAAAAAGAGAGAAAAAAACTGTCAACTTATAGTAGCAACAAACGTCTGTAATTAGATTCCTTCTGTCTCTCGACCGCAACACTTGTAGTCAAATCACAGTTCAAACGATAATCCGTCGTAGCAGTCCAACAGGCAACGTAGAAACGAAAATGAGTCACACGTCCAACCTTCACTTCCCACCAGTAAAAACACGTGTTCGTCCACCAAGCTCAGAAAATTTAATGCCACATAAGCGAAAAACAACAGCTTTTGTTCACCGAGAGATCTTTCTGATTGGTCACGCCATTCAGGGGAGGGAAGAACATTAGCATAGATTCTGGCCCTTAAAGTAGATTTTTGCTAACTACTTTTTTTTTTTTTGGTAATTTTTCTCCGGTAGATCGCACACAAAACACGAACTCTTTTTCGAGGTAGCTGATTACCTCTTTCACTAAATTTCTTCCTTTTCACTGAAAATTTGATCCTTACTCACTCGTTCAATACTTGAAATTCTCATCATCATTCGGTAGAAAGGCATCACTGTTGCTTCATTGCTGAGGAAATTGCCTGGCATTCACTGCCGGATTGATATTATAAAAGAGTTCAGTACTGATTATCTCTTTCACTACAGGTTCCTATTTAATGGATGCTTGGAAGGAGGTATCAGTAACTACCACAGAGTGGTCAGGGTTATCAAGAGGCCATTATTGTGAATATTGGCACTAGCGTGGAGTGGAGGTAAGAAATAGATCCAATAGAGAAGCATGTTATTCGGTTTGGTTAGGGAAATAAGTAGGGAAGTCCACGATTTGAGTGATAGATTGGGAAATGGAAAAATTTAATCTCTATATACCTGCAACATCAGTATCTTTAGAATGTTTCACTCACCGAAGACAAAGATGTTCTCAGACTGATAGAAAATGCCTTTTCTATACTATGAGCTATTGCGTCTAATATATTGCAGTCTTGGGAAGTGGGGAGGCGATAGAAGAAAAACAGATAGCTGATAGAGTTTCGTAACGAAAGACGGAATCACGTAAAAGAGTAGTCAGCGACATCGAGCGACAGATCCCTGGCCATAGCCTCGTTTTGAATCGTCACGTTTCTAAAATTTAGAAGTTTTTATGCTGATAAATTATTATTCTACTCGATTTGAACTCTATATTTTTTGCCGTGTACGCTTGAAATTATAAATTACTATTAGCCTCGTTTTGAATGTTCCCGATGCTAAAATTTAGACTTTTTTTTAACACTTATTACTCCTTATTTTTTTAACTCTTACTCGTCTGGTTGAAATTGTAAATTACAATTAGCCTCATTTTAAATTGTCACGTTTGTAAAATTTAGACGTTTTTACTCTGATATATTATGACACTCCTTAATTTGAAGTCTTTTTCCTCTGCCATATACTGCTTGAAAGTGTAAGTTACTATTAGCCACGTTTTAAACTGTCACGATGCTAATATTTATAAATTTTTATTATGCTAACATATTATTACTCTCCTCAATTTGAACTCTTACTTGTCTACTGTACACCATTTGAAACTATAAATTATCATTACCCTCGTTTTTATTAGTCACATTGCGCTGATATATCATTACTTTCCTCAATTTGAACTCTTTTTCTTCTGTCATGTCAGGTATGTGCCTACGTGATACACACTTTCGAT